TCGGCGCTCGGACGTGGTCAGCGAGCACCAGCGGGAGACCAGCTGGGGGGAGACGGGGGGGGGGGGGGGGTGCGGTGGGGGGAGAGGTGGGGGGGGTGGTGGTGGTGGTGGGGGGGGGAGGGTGGGTGGAGTTTCATTCATGGGGGTACGAGCGGGGAAAAAAAATCAATAAATATAAACACTCTTAAATTTTTGGATTTAAAGCTTTTCGTGACTGCAGTAATTCATATTGTTAGTTTCTTTCGGTAAAGTCACCACCACGTTGAAGGGAAACAATAAAATAATAAAATATATATATATAAATATATAAAATCTATAAAACGTCGTGAGAATTTTTATTGTTTTATATATATTTATTGTTTCCCTTCAACGTGGTGACTTTACCGAAAGAACTAAGAGTATAAAAAAATGTTTTAATTTAAAGCTTTTCGTGACTGCAGTAATTCATATTCTTAGTTCTTTCGGTAAAGTCACCACGTTGAAGGGAAACAACAAAATAATAAAATATATAATATATAAATATATAAAATATTTATATTAAACGTCGTGAGAATTTTTTTATTGTTTTATATATATTTTATTAGTTTATTGCTTCCCTTCAACGTGGTGACTTTACCGAAAGAACTAAGAGTATAAAAAAATGTTTTGATTTAAAGCTTTTCGTGACTGCAGTAATTCATATTCTTAGCTCTTTCGGTAAAGTCACGTTTTATATATATTATTATTTAGTTGTTTCCCTTCAACGTGGTGACTTTACCGAAAGAACTAAGAATATGAACTAAGAGTGTTTATATTCTTAGTTTTTTCGGTAAAGTCACCACCACGTTGAAGGGAAACAATAAAATAATAAAACATATAATATATAAATATATATAAAATATTCATATAAAACGTCGTGAGAATTTTTATTGTTTTATAAATATTTTATTATTTTATTGCTTCCCTTCAACGTGGTGACTTTACCGAAAGAACTAAGAGTATAAAAAAATGTTTTGATTTAAAGCTTTTCGTGACTGCAGTAATTCATATTCTTAGCTCTTTCGGTAAAGTCACCACGTTGAAGGGAAACAATAAAATAATACAATATATAATATATAAATACATATATAAAATATATAAAACGTCGTGAGAATTTTTATTGTTATATATTGTTATTATTTTATTGTTTCCCTTCAACGTGGTGACTTTACCGAAAAAACTAAGAATATGAACTAAGAGTGTTTATATTCTTAGTTTTTTCGGTAAAGTCACCACGTTGAAGGGAAACAATAAAATAATAAAAATATATAATATAAATATATATTAATATTGATATAAAACGTCGTGAGAATTTTTATTGTTTTATATATATTTTATTATTTTATTGTTTCCCTTCAACGTGGCGACTTTACCGAAAGAACTAAGAGTATAAAAAAATGTTTTGATTTAAAGCTTTCGTGACTGCAGTAATTCATATTCTTAGCTCTTTCGGTAAAGTCACCACCACGTTGAAGGGAAACAATAAAATAATAAAATATATATAATATATAAAATATCTATATATAAAACGTCGTGAGAATTTTTATTGTTTTATATATATTGTTATTATTTTATTGTTTCCCTTCAACGTGGTGACTTTACCGAAAGAACTAAGAGTATAAAAAAATTTTGATTTAAAGCTTTTCGTGACTGCAGTAATTCATAATCTTAGTTTTTTCGCTAAAGTCACGTTTATATATATATTATTTTGTTGTTTCCCTTCAACGTGGTGACTTTACCGAAAAAACTAAGAATATGAACTAAGAGTGTTTATACTCTTAGTTTTTTCGGTAAAGTCACCACCACGTTGAAGGGAAACAACAAAATAATAATAAAATCTATATATAAAACAATTAAAAAATTCTCACGACGTTTCGACCATAACACAAACGGTCATCTTCAGGTGTGTTGGTTCGCATAAATTTATTTTTAAACGGCGCATTTATTTATCTGTA